TGCAGAAGAATTGATGCTTTTGAACTGTGGTGTTGGAGAAGACTCCTGAGAGTCCCTTGGACTGCAGGGAGATCCAGCCAGTCCATCCTAAAGGAAATCAGTCCTGAATGTTCATTGGAAGGACTGATGCTGAAGCTGAAACTCCAATACTTTGGCCACCTGCTGCGAAGAGCTGACTCTTTGGAAAAAACCCTGATGCTGGGAAAGATTGAGGGCAGGAGGAGAAGGGGATGACAGAGGATGAGATGGTTGGATGGCATCACCGACTCGATGGACATGAGTTTGGGTGAACTCTGAGAGTTGGTGATGGACAGGGAGGCCTGGCATGCTGCGGTTCATAGGGTTGCAAAGAGTCAGACACAACTGAGTGACTGAACTGAACTGAACTGGGGAAATGGATGAACCCTCTGTGAGGGTTCCCAGTCTGTCCCCAAGGGAGGAAGTGGTTACTCACCAAGGACATGAGCTCTCCAGGGCCCGTTGGAGCATTTGGGCAGAAGTTATTAAGAAAGCATGTCTTGGAGGTGTTTTTCTTCTCCTGGATTTGAAGATCAGCCTGGTAGCAAATATCAAGTGTGTAGATGCAGTTTCTATTGACACTAGTGGTCCTAGACTATTTTAATTTGCTTATTTAACTAATGACTCCAGTCTAAGATAAGGTCTGTCACTAAGGCTTCCATTGAGTCTGTCAAGGCTTGGGATTACAGTTGCTTTTTCATGTTGTGAAAGTGTGTTTTTAATGGCATTTTGCCTCCATCTGTTGTGCTCACAGCCCCTCAATAGGACAGTGAAATTAATGAGCCAGAATATCATGAGAGCACCCCAACCCTTGTCTCCTGACTCCCCTTTTAGCTTTTTCTAGAAAACAAAGGTGAGAAGAAGTAGATTAAAGAGCGCCTAGGACACGTCTCTAGCCGGAAGCTGAGGTCGGACTGAGGACCGATGGCGGGTCCATGCTCACTGGGTTTGTCTCTGAAGGGCTCTGCGCCTTCAGAGGAGGGCAAGTTCATTGTCGTCAAACACGTCGTAGACGAACAATCATGTGGTTTATTTTAAAGGGTTAGAAGAATGCGCACTGCGATTCCATGGGTGTTATCAGGGTGAGCTCAGAGTGGAGGCAGATGGTGAAGACGAGCTGATTTGAGCCGGCATTTGGTCCAAACTGGGGCAGCCATGCTCAGCCAAGCCCAGCTGGTGAGGAGGAGAGCCTTGGCTCTCCTTTATTGAGTTATTACGTGTCAGACGCTGTTGTGAGGGTCGTGCAGTATAATTCGTTGACCTCTCCCAGCGGCTCAGTGAGTTGGGCACTGCTGAGGCTTGGGAAGGTGATATAATACCTGGCCAGGATGTGAACCCAGAACACGAATCGCTGCGCTCTGTGCTATGCTAAGTCGCTCAGTCGTGTCCGACTCTTTGCGGCCCCATGGACTGCAGCCCGCCAGGCTCCTCTGTCCATGGGGATTCTCCTGCTGCTGCTCCAAAAGGAAATAAAATGAGCACAGAGAACAAAAGCAAAGCGCCTTTGCCCTTGCAGCCTGAGAGTCAGCTGCACGCAGTGGTGCATTGAGGGAACCCAACTGGGCCTCTCTTTTCATGTCTGTTAAATGGGATCAAGTGTAGGCAGAGGCCCTGTGTTTTGGCCCCCATTTGCCAGGTGACCTTGAGCCAGCCCCTCCCCATCTGTGGAGTTTGGGGCGTCTGTGAACTCTCTCCCCAGTCTCTGCTGCAAGGAGTCCAGCCCTCGCCCTCCAAGTTCCCGGGTACCTGGCAGTGTCCGATGCTGGGCAGACTTCACGGCAGCATTGGGTGCAAGGATGCCCCGCTTTCCATGCCCCCGGGTAGCGGAGCTCCGCCCAGCAGGCTGAGCTGCTGGGGGCAAATCCCCGGACAGTTTCAGCAGGAGGGTGGCAGGATCAGGCGGGCTTTGAGACGGTCCCTCTGGCCGCCGGGTGAAGAGATGGGAGGGCAGCCCCAGCGAAGGGGTGCCAGCTGGAGGCGAGTGTTACAGACCTGCAGGCAGGCGATGGCGTGGGCTCCGAGGCTGTGACAGAGGGGCCGGTGGCGTTGGGGAGGGTGTGAGGGTGAACTTGGGAGACGTTTAATATTCGGGCCCGAGATGTTTGGGTTTCCGACTCGCTGCCCAGGAGGATGGAGGCAATAGTGGCCTCGTGGAAAAAGTCGGGAAGTGTTCGCTCTTCAACTTTGGGGGGAGAATTTTATAATGATTGGCATTTGTTCTTCCTTGAATGTTTGGTAGAATTTGTTGTTGAAATTTTGTCATTTCACAGGTGTTGCCTTTATTTCTCCCTGTGAGTTTGTGGTTCTGCCTCGTGTCCTTTCATTTCATTTTGCAGGACTCCCTCGAACACTTCCTGCAGCATAGATTTTGTTGTCACAAGCTGCCGCAGGTTTATTTAGGAGTGTCTTAACGTCCAGCACAGTTCTGAAGGACAGTTGTATGGAATTCAGGATTGATTCTTAGCTGACAGGTTTTTTCTTTTAAAAAGCATTTTGAATATATTGGCCCTCTACCTTGTATCTTCCAAATTCTGATGAGAAATCTTCTAATGATCTTAATGAGATCCCATGTATGTTACAGAAAAGCCCAAATGAACTTTCCGGGCCATCCCATAATT